TGTCCCGAGTTACAGCCAGCGCTCTGCTTACCATCAGAGGCTGCAGGGGTGGGGAACTCCGGTGTTGTCGGAGAATTACTAAGCTTGTCTATTAAACATGAGAGGCTTTATTTTCGTTGGCCAACTTTTTAATTGAACCTCAAACTGATTATTTTTTGTTTGCTTCCTGGCATATAGAAAGATGGACTCCTAGGAGATTTTAACTGAGATAGGGACGCATTAATTGGTGGTTGAACTGTGGGTTTTGTATTAAATGCTTGCTGTATAACACACTGTGGTAAACTGATGATATTATATCATATAAATTTAATGCATGACTTGACACTCAAATGATCTTTTTCATACTATTAAAATTTAACATTTCTTCTCCACCATAGCTCATAATAATAATTCATGGAATTCATACATCACCTAATTTCATCATAAAACAAGCGAGACCCACAAGAAAGAACAGTTTGTGTTTAATCTAGCTAATATTGTGTTGGTCATACTATACACTGATTTACTGCTTGTCCGTATTGGAAAAATACAGAAGGTTAAAAATTAATTGCATATTAAATCGCAATCGCAATATTGGTAAAAACAATCACAATTAGATTATTTTCCAAAATCGTTCAGCCCTATGTAACAATGATAGACATATGACACCTAACTAAGTGTCTTAGTTAGGTGTTGGGCCACCATGATCTGCCAGAAAAGCTTCAATATCATGGCATAGGTTCTACAAGTCTTAAGAAGCATCAGCATTTGCTTATTTCGGCACTTATTTGTTTATGCCTTTTGCTTTAGTTTGTCACCCATCGACACAAATATTAGGGCATATTTAAGGCAACAGCAAATATGCATGTTATGGAAAAGGCCTCTAGGCAGACCAACAGTCCTCTGTAACCTGTTTGTGGTGATGCAATTGATGAAATGACAGCTGCATGGACAAAACTACGTAAATTGTTTTTCTCTGTTCTTAGTCTTCAAGAATCTAGTCAAATATATGCTCATCAGGTAGTCAGCAGCATGCACATATATGTGCTGCACTGTTTTGCGGTGTGTTGCTGTTCACAGGCTCAGCTGCACATGAAATCTACGAAAACCGGGGGACTGTGTTTGCTTTGTGTGACAGTTTGTGTCTCTGCCTCTGAGCCTTTTTCCCACTGCGAGAGCTGCTCCACTGTACTAAGTGTGTCAACAATACCAGCTGAGAGGCAGCCTTCAGTCCACACACTCTCTGACTGCAGAGTAATCCTTAAAAGAGAGAAACTGGGAGAAAGAGAGGAGGGAGGCAGAAATATAGAGCGAGCATGTGGGAAGTGTAAGGATAGAGGTGAAAAGAGCAAGAGATTGAGCGATGGTGGAGTTGAATTTGACAGCGAGCGAGAGAGGAAGAAGAGAGGAGAAAGCATGGTTGCCAAAGAGAGATTTCAATGTTTCAAAAGATTTCCCTATCACAGTCTCTGACACAGTCTCTGACACATTACATACACAGCTCACTATCGGCTCGACCCTGACAGCTACACAAATTGGCTGAAAGGGGTTTCCTGGGCAAGGCCTTTGATCAGGTGTGTGTGTGTGTGTTGTCAGCGGGTGAGAGGAAAGAGAGAGATTTTGTACATTTGTCCATACCTGGACATCTGAGTGTATATGTGTGCATGTGAATGAAAAAAGGCACTTTTCTGCTCCAAATCATGGTGGAATGAAATAAATCTACATAGATAAAGCTGACAGTGTGTGTGTGTGTGTGTGAATAAATGCTGCCAATCAGGTTAGATTTTTGTGTATGTATATACTGCATGTGCTGGCATTGTGTTTTTAAGCATGCTATGTGTGCAATGTGTCGTATCCTAAGCATGTTATAGGTTTTATTCCAGTAATATTCCTCTTTCAGATGAAGCCTGGGGTCGTCTATTTGTATCTGACACTTTCAAACATGCATTAATGATCTTTCAGAGGTGGTCCATAAACAAACCCATTGTAAAAAAGCTTGTATCGAATCAGCCCCCCAACACAGTTCAGGTTTGGAGCAGTGATGTTTTTATTATTATGATCACAGACACCACACACACACACACACACACACACACACACACACACACACACACACACACACACACACACACACACACGTCTTAGTACAAGTCACACACTGCTGGACACTGAGCAGTTTCTCTGCTGTAGTTTGGAGGTTGTTGCTTTGCTCAGTATGTGTGTTTTCAGGAACTATTTTCAGGAAGTGCTGTTGCTTTTTTAGAAAAGCAAACAGTGTGGCTCTAGGAATGGTCCTCCGGGGACCATAAATGTGCACAGTGTTGGATATGCATCATATCTAGACAATGAATCCTACTGACTTTGGTGATCCTCTTTGGTGACTTTTATTCTAACGCCGCTAGCAGGTTGATAAGTTTTGGCTCTAGCTCAAAGCAGTACACCCTCACAGAGCTGCTAGCATGGTGACAGCCCGGTGTCAAAACAGCGCAGCATGCTGCAGTGTGAAGGCATGTTGTTTAAGGTACAGGTGAAATAATGAAATATAATACAAGAAGTCCAGCTGGAGTAACAGATTATCGGATGCCAAAACACTGCTTAATGGTTTGCAATACTCACAGACAAGATTTTGTATCTCTGGAAAGTTATCACAGTTTTTTAGCTTTCCATCACAAGGTAAACGGTAGGTGCGATGTTTGCGTTACAAAGTGATCTGCAAAGTAGGAATGTGCGCTTGCATTTATTTGATTGATGGTTACAGCAAAAGTTGAACCATGGTTAGTCAGTACAGTCCAAACCTGCCTGGAGGTCCTCAACAGCTTTACCTGTCCACATCTTTGATGTCCTCACTACAGGTTTACAGAGCTTTAGTTTTTGCCTGTAAACAGGGATCAGATGGACCATCATGTGATCAGAGTGTCCCAGTGGAGCGTGTGTGACGACATGATAGGCACTGCTAACTGTGGTATAGCAGTGATCCAAAGTGAAGGGCTCAAGTCAGTCGAGCTTGGTTTTGTTTGTACAGAAATGATTAGTCATTCTTTATCAATGGAGAAAACCCTGTTGTATTCTATCTTAATCTGTCAATATTTTCAAGAACCCAAAAATTATTCAATTTAGAATGACATAAAACAAAGAAAGCAGCAAATCCTCACGTTTGAGAAACAGTTTTGCTTGATAAATGACTTTAATCATTAATTTATTATTAGTGTTGGGAATTCTTTCAATATAGAGTGGAATTTGTCACAGCCATTAAAGGAGACCTATTATACCGCATGTCCAGCCCTATATTGTAGTTCTGTGACTCCTCTATGGTAACATCTGACATTGTATCATTATAGACATGCCAGAAAATATGAAAAAGCATTATAGGTCCTCTTTAAAATGAAGTATTACCCATTGTAGCCTTTTCCATGTCTGTACTTTGTCATGTTTTTGTTGAAGTGCATAGGCTCATTCTGGGCTTAGTGTACGGCACTGGCCTATAAATGACACGACTCCACAGGCACCATCTCCTGTTACTGCTGCGTGTTTGCTGTGTATGTGTTAGTGCAGTCTTTCTGAGCTGCCAGCGTGCTTGTGTGTGTAGTGTGTGTGTGTGTGTGTGTGTGTGTCTGTAAGGACATGCGTGCCAGTTGAGGGAAGTACAGGTAATGGATTAATATCAGAGCTGGCTCAGACTCCACATCACTGTGTGGTGACAACCTGTCATTATCACAAACATCGGTTCACACACACAAGCTCGCACAGGCTGACTCCCATTTGTGTACATGCATGCACATACATCCGCCAAATAGAGTATACATCAAAGCTCATACACTTCTCACCTGTCTCCCTCTCTTCCCTCCACTTTTCTTGTCATTGTGGCACACAGTGGAACTGGCCTGTGATCATCTCAAACTGCAGCAGGGTCTTGAACTTGTTCCATCCAGTTCCCTACAGCAGGACCAATGCTGAGACCAGATTTCTTTGTCGAGCCAGCGTGGCTGTTTTGCTCCAAACATCGAGGAGGCAGACAGAGTGTTTTGAACGCTGTTGTCATATGAGCCATCTGGCTTGCTTACTTTACTTCCTCCAAACTTAACTTAATAGTTTGTGTAAGGCAGTGGGCAGGCAGAGCTGGGTGTGCTGCTCTATGAACCCATCAGTTCCAAACACTCATTAATCCTCGCCTTTCCTCCCTGCCCAAAATGGTCATCTATTTAAGTCATTTAGTTAGCAGTGAGCTGTGTAATTTAACAGTGGAGGCCAATAGGAAATGTTTGAGTAAGTTTAGGTTTATGAAGGGCCCAGGCCTGGATTAAACAATGAATGGCCTGGTTTGCACATAAGGGGAAGCTTGTCAGGCCCTTCTTAAAGCACAGTAGAAGTGCCCAATGCAATCTTGTATGGTTTGAGAAACTGTTGTTTACTGTGCGCTTGGCAAAGACTCACCACGGACACATCACAAATTCAGGGCCCTCTGTCCATCAGCACTTTTAAACCTCTTCATTTTAACAAAGCTGCCAATGGCTTGAGACATTTCCTGTTCCATGAACATGAAAAAAACTGTAACTTACAGCAGGGTCACTCCAGTCATGATAATAACACTGACTGAATAGGAATGTTTATTGCTTTGTCATTAAAGCTAACTCAAGCTGGAGTGGTTAATGCTAAGCTGCAGCACAGCCTGTTATTGTTATTGATACAAGCTCTCGTTATAAAACTTGCTACCATGATTATAATGAGCACTACTAATTATACATATCCTGCTGCCTTAATTTGATGTGCTTCCTGTTGAATCAAGATATTGATGTGGGACTTGATGCAGGAAAAGATTATTCAAAAGAATGTGAGTTCGGCAGAAATGTTATTGTTATGTTTAATGGCTAGGACAAGGTGGCTAGGAAAGGCAGAAACTGAAAATAACTTTTTTATGACATTTTTTAAATTTGTGATTATTAAGAAAAAAAAATGTTTTTTTTATTGTGTTATCACTTTAAGTGACCTTTTCCTTTCCTTTTCTCTCTCCGTCTCTGCAACAGTCCTATGCTCCTCCCCCTCCACCCATGGCTCCGCCCAGCCCTGGGACCACAGGAGGAGGTGGAGGTGGAGGAGGAGGTCACGGAGGAGGGCTAGTGGAGCAGCTTAGTAAGACCAACCTGTACATCAGAGGCCTGCCACCTGCCACCACCGACCAGGACCTCATCAAACTCTGCCAGCCGTGAGTTCTATTGTGTTCTATTCAACTTAATCTTACCCTGTCCTCGCTCTGCAGATGCATCCTTCAGTGCAGCTGAGCTCTGTTCAGTTCAGCTTGTCGTAATTCGTTTTGCGTGAGTCCAACAGCAGCTTATAATGAGGATCAACAGTTTGCTCTTGACCTCTCTGTCCCTCTCCTTGTGCTTCCTCAAAGGAAAAAACACAACCCAGCTGGGCCTAACCCATCCGCTCCCTTCGGTACTGGGTCATCTACACATATGCTGCACAAGGACACACACATCCTTCTGTCCATCAGCAGAAGATATAAACACCTCAGTCTTTATAAGATATGTTGGACGATTGAAGACATTTCTTGTTTAAAGACATTGGAATATTTTACAGCTTGGCAAGTCACTCCGCTCATTCCAGTGAGTAAAAAAATTAGGCGGAATAGAAAATGTGATTGCATTGTAGTTAATGCTAGTGATATTAATAGAATTTGAAATGTGATGATTTTGACAATCCAGTAATTTACAGAAGCTACTGCAAAGATCATTTGCCAATCCTCTTAACATTTTAGTAAGAGCGATATTAGAACTGATCTCCAAGATTGGTGTTGATGATGAAATCATATACTAATTATTCACCAGCAGCTATGTCACATCTGAGCAAATCCTGTTAGTAGCAATAGTTGTTTTGTATTATGTATAAACTGTCTAACTTGCAAGAAATGTATATCAACAACGTTTCGGTACTTCATCAGGCAAATGGTTTGACTTTTTGACCGACTTTTTGACCGACTTCTTCCCCTCCGTCACCTGTCTCTCGTTTTAGAGGTGCGAACTAATTAACTATAATGTTGTTTCCCATCATGTTGGACATTCACAGGGTATGGACGAGGGTGATATTTTTCTGTGGGATAATTACAAAATGGAACTTATAATGAAACCTATGACTAAAAAGGTTATATTTTTCTTAATGCAGTTTTAAATTATTCATTTGATTTATTTAATTTATTACATGAGACAAATTTAAACATCAATACTTTTTATTAAATGATTTGGATCGTAATTGCGCACAAAAATGCATCAAGATTATCTTTATTGAGGGAAATTTGTCTTGGGCTTGAAAGAAACTTGATTGAGACGTTTCGGCATTTCCGCTAACATGTTACCCTCAGAGGTAACATTACACCCACAGCAATATTTTTGAGCATGTCTATTCCCCTTGATATTAAATTGGTGAATGGTGTGGTCAACCTGATCATTCCTTCACTGTAGTAACATCGCCTGTTGGACACTTCTTATCTATTCTCTTCCTTCGTGCTAAAAGTCGATCCTGCAGTTTGTCCCCGTGTGGACAAACTAGAGTCAACACAGAATGTAATGCAAATAATAAACCTGCTCTCCCAGAGAAGGTCTCGTTTGTCTACAGCTATTTCCTGTTATTGTCAAATGTAATTGGAGAATGATATATTGAGCTAAATATTCTGCAGGTAAGGGCTTTAAATGATCTCGTAAATATTTCTAACTGATCTAATTGATTTTGGAATAAAGAAAGGAAGATAAAGATTAAATGTGAAGACTTTACCACACACACACGCTCCACACCATACCTTGTCCTTCTGCGTGTCAGCTGCAGTTCAAGCCTGTTGTATTTCAGCTTAGCCCTGGAGGCATTCTGGAGAAACAGGGTGAAAAATAGGGGCCAATAAAAGTTTCATTAGAGGCCCAGTCAGTGTGCCAAGTGGCCAGTAACATTTAGGAAAGGTCAGTCAGAGAGGGTGTTTGCAGTTGGGCAGCAGTCTTAGCCTTGGTATTCTAAATCTCTCCGGCTTTCAGAAATAGACTGAGTGGCAGTTTGTCTGTCACTCACTGACATGACATGCACACATGCGCACACACAAACAGGCATTTCATTCACAGTTACAGTGAATAACAGAGGGACAGTCCCTTGACACTGATGCACACACATGCACACACATACACACGCGCGCTTTCAAATCAATGTCGTCCTCATCCTTATTGTTACCAAGTGAGGCTTTTTTACGTACAGGCTCGCCCACAAGTGCCATCCTCTCCTTTCCCATTCTGTCATCCTCCTTGTTTCCTCCCTTCATCCTTCTCTCTCTGCCCCCTCCCTCTATCCCTCATCCCCCCTCTCCCCTCTCTTTCTCTGTCTCTGTGCCAGTTCTCAGAGTGTCAGTGAAAAGTGCTGTTGTCAGCTGACATTTCCAATCACTCCCCCGGTCGCCCAAACTATGGACACACTTTTAACGTCTGGGGACAGAGCAGAACGTGAACGGAATCTAAAGTGGCGCACAAGGGCAATTTCTCTCTTGCTCGCTCGCTTTCACTCACACTTGTTGTCTGTCTGTCTCTCTCAGGCTTACCACTGATTCACTACTCTCTATCTATCTATCTATCTATCTATCTATCTATCTATCTATCTATCTATCTATCTATCTATCTATCTATCTATCTATCTATCCATCCATCCATCCGTCCATCCATCATGATAAAGGACAAGTTTTAACCACTCAAAGCCACTCAAAGGAGAAAACACTGAAGAAGAATATAAAACACTCAATGAGTTCACAATATCTCATTAATCATCATCAGCAACAAAGTCTTGCTCTAACTTTAAACTTTATAACTCCTCCTTCAAACTTTATAACTTCTTCCTTTAAGCGTCTGACACAGTTATTAAACTAGACCTCATTACCTATTTTCTGTCCAATATTACCTGTTTAATAATTAATGTGCAATATTCTCTGCTGCTATTTATTTACTTGTCCTTTTTGGTTCACCATAATAATTCTTAATAATGTAAATATTGTACATACCCACACGCCTTTATATTTGTCTTTATTTTATATATTTATACTATTATATTTATATACTCTTTATCTATCTACCTTTGACAAGTGCAACTGTGACAAAAGAATTTCCCCTTGAGGATCAATAAAGTATTTCTGATTCTGATTCTGACTAACCATTTCAGATTGGCACATGGAAATTTGAAAAGCTTCACACGATTGTTCTTGATGTTTTGGTAGCACTTGATTGATATGAAACCTGAACCCTGGAAATATCTTTCTGTCCTGAAATTATTATTAGTATTATCTAACATTAAGAAAGATTCCATCTTTAATTATCTTACTGTTTAATGAACAAAACTCTGGGGACAAAGTAACACTGCTTCAAGTTTTTCCTTGAATAGGAGCAGTAATATTGTTGGTAAGTGTCCATTTTTCCTACGGAGTTACAAATACAGTATGGACTGAAATGTTGCTCTACATCTGATACTCTTATCTGATACTGTTACAATGATAGTTTCCTTTATTGACATCCCTTTTAGGTAGGTTGGGAAAAAAATCTCAAAAAATAGGAGAATGGAGCTAAGCCAGTACTTGAAAGTGGGCAAATGACAAGATATATGCTGGGAATAACATGAGGTCACCCAACTCCATGCATACATAAGAACGACAAAAGTACAGTAACTGAGAGTGAGGCATGTGTCAATCAAACACAGTTAGCACATGCCCACACATTCCTGAGAGGAGCTCTAATCAGCCAAATAAGTGAAATCACCTGTGTAGGTGTACCTACAAATCAGCAGGGTAAAGCTGCTAGTATACTTCATCAAAAGTGCCAGGTGGTCTCACACACACACACACACACACACACACTTTCCAATGGCGGAAATGGGGGCGCATGTTCAGAGGTGACAAAGCAAGCAAGGTTTAAACATCTCTCTCTGTACCTCTAATTTTTCAGCAGTTACACATCTATTTCTGTCACTTATTGTGCGACACTATAATTATGTCTTCCAGGAGAGACTGTCAGAATGCATGCGTTGTTTTTCCCATTTGAACTATTATTTAGCCTTGCCCCTCTTTATGATGATCACCTTTTCCGACATGGTCGAACAACGCGTCTTACGACCTTGTTCTTTTCTAGTAAAAACCCGGCCCTTAGGGTCAACAGTCATGTTCTTTTGCCAACACTCTGGTGTTGTCGAACTTAATTTAACTGTTTTATTGATAAAAATATCCTATATTTAGGATAATGTAGACAGTATTGAGCTCTCTGAAGACTTATGGCCAGGGATGTAATTTACCCAATACTGAATTTAAACAGAGTAATACACGGCTATTTGGTCTGACATATATCTTTATGGCAAAAGTTCACACTTCCCTATCAATACCCCATAGTATTATCAGATGAAAGAAAAATAAGGATAAGAAAAGAAAAGAAAAATATGCTTTTTCTGAAAATATAATGGCTTTTTGTTTATACCTTGCAGCTACTGATTGAAACTTCATTGAAAGCCCTTTTGGCAGATAAACTTAATATTTCAGTGACATCAAACAATCTTCTGAAACCCCAGCACATTACCTTTTCACATTCATTTCTTTATAGCACCTGAACATGTTAAACTACTTATGAAGAATGAATACGAAGACTTCTGAAAGCACTGCACTCTCTCAGTCCTCTGTGTCTAACTGGCAGAGACGCGGGGAAATGAGGGAAATGCAAGAGACAAGACAGCTGTATTGTATCCCCAATTAGGAGATGCCACACACAGAGACCAACCTGTGTGTACGCTCATGCATACGCTCCCACTCATACTCAAACACATGCATAGCCCAAGACAGAACACACACCGCTTACAAACACACAGAACATGCATATACAGAGCATATACATAATATATATATACAGTCACATTATGGAGGAATGTGGAAATGATGCGTGTGTGTGTGTGTGTGTGTGTGTGTGTGTGTGTGTGGTAACTGTGGTTCAGTAGACATCAAACAGTGAGCATCCATAGGCTGACGGTGTTCCACAAGGAAATGAAAACAGATCTGCTGCTGTGAGGGCCCTCTGAGGACTGTCATTACCACATCACACACACACACGCACACACAAACACACACAGCCTGGGTGCACACAGATTTTGTCAAGCCTGCCAAAATTGGGTGCACTGAATTTCATATTGACGTTCCACCTCAAATCTCGACAGCCTGGAAAATACTGTCAATTTCAGTGGTCTTACTGTTCTTTGTGTATCGCATTTCTTGGTGGAAAAAAACAAAACTTCAGTTTTGGAAAGGATTCTAAAGAGTTTCCGTGTCTTAAAGAAGACGCGTAGCTTTTCCTAAAAGGATTTTTATATAAAGTCAGCCTGACAGGTGAATCTCCCCACCAGCCCAACTCCAGGCTGATGCTGTGGAAATGTGTGCTTTTCTGGCTTAGTATTGTGCTGTTTGAGTTTCTAGCATTATGAAGCCAAAGACAATAGAGTATTTAAGGTTAGCAAGGTACTCCTGGCAAGTACTCTATGACATAAACACAACTTGTTGACCAAATGTAGATATTTCTGCAGGGTTAGGAGTTATGTAGCGAGGCAATATCAATGAATTTGAAGGATTTCACTCCAAAGTGCAAAATCAACTTCTTATTGTTATGGTTAGAAACATGCAGTTATATGATCACATCTTCTGTTAAAAGTCTGGATTCAGAATTACCCGTGTTTTGAGGTACAAGCTGTGTTATACACACATCAGGAAATCTCAGGATTGGGAGTAAAAGTGTTGTCATCTGGATGGGACTGACAATTACAAACGTAACTGGGGAAGGATGGGAATCAACTGAGCAGATTGGAAATATACTTTCAGCCCCATGTCTCCCTGTATACAATGACTCAAAACACAGAAAGAGCATCCTTTTATTTATATTACAGGGAAGAGAAAAGTTTGGTTACAGAACTCCAGATCTAGCTGTGGCTTAGATCACTTTTTCAAGCTTGTTGGAAAATTGCTCCACTGCTGCTTCACACTTTATTTCCATAGTAGGCTCTTTATTCATGATGAACATCCAATGGAAGCAAATTACATACTCAGATTCCTTTCAGAACCTATTCATTACTGTTCCTTTGGCACAATGGAAAGTAATGGAATAAGGAAATGCTAACCCTAACCATCTGGCTCCTTGTAGTCCTCTGTTGGTATGTTGTTAGTATTTGAATAGTGTTTATGAGTGCCTTGTGTCACTGCTGTTGGGTCAAGTGCAGGTTGATGTTACTTCAACTGGCTCCAGGCTTCTGCTGGAATCAATGTCCCAGCTGAGACTGGAACACAGAACAGGACATTCTGCACTCAACCTTACTTCATCTGATCTATTATCAATACCTTCCTCCATTTCTTCACCACAATAATTGCTGTAGCTTTCTGGATAAAATGAAATTTTACCATTGAATCAAGTCCAGAGTGGGACGCCATTTTGGATGGCGCAGTGTTGTGGTAATTTGACATTTCCCCAAGGCCATGGCGTCATCACTCCTCTCCTCTCCTCTCCTTTTGTTTTCCAGTCCAGCTAACTACAGAGGGAACAGGTGGATTCATACTCGAATGTCACACACATTGTTCTGACAATAATGCACACACAGCCACACATTAAACTCATGCCGTATTTGTTTTCCACTTTGTAAAAAACAGACGACTGTGAACATATTTTTCCAAGATAAGATAATGTGTCGAGCCAGGTATCTCTCTCTTTGTCTTTCTCTCGCTCCTTCTCAGTCTCTTTCTTTTTCACACACATGCACAAATACTCACATACACACACAAACGAACAAACAGTCTGGAAATGTTTCACTTTTCTGCTGGGAAAAACAACCTGCCAGAACACTGATGGTGCATGAGATCTTTGTCATGCATTCATACACACACACACACACAATTGCAAGGAATCACACCCACACAAGTATTTGTATACTTAAATATGTCCAGGCACATTCACTCACACACTGACACACACCATGTTTGAATCACAGTCAGGCAGAAGTCAACAAAGAGCCGGCTATTGCCAGATGGTTGTGTGTAATGTGTGTGATTACCGCTTTGGTGTTTTTGATCTGTGATGTTGCCTTGCGTGTACGTCTGCATGTGTGTTTATCTCTACGTATATGTGTGGGCGATTAGTCCTGCCTTGTTTTTTCAGACTGTTTTTTTTGTCTGCAATGGTTGGATTGCTCCCCAAACCATAGGCTAACAACCTTGTTTACCACAAGCCATGACTTTGTCAAACAGCATCCTGACAAAGATTAGGTTTGATTTTATCCAGTCACAATCGGTGGATTTGAAAATACCCTAAAAATAGCTTAAATTGCAGGAAAATGGGTGAAAATTGAGCACTGTTTGAAAACAAAAAGTGGCGATTTTCTCTCTACCAACTTCAAGATCATAAGCTGCTCAGCTGTCCTGTTATGTGTGATATCAGCCTTTAAAGGCCTTTTTTTCCGTCTTTATTTCTAAAATCTCCTGTCCCAATAGAGTTTAATGTGAGGCTGTCAGGGTGGTGTGAGCAAGTCTCTGTTCTCTTCTTCTCACTGATAGAAGCAGTTGGCTGACAGAGACTCTCCTGATGGTGACAACTAAGTGATCTCTTCTTTATTAAACACCTCTTACTATCTCTCTATCGCTCCCTGACTACCTTGCTTCCTCCTTGCCTTCAGTGTCTCTTTTTATCTTTTGACTGACTGCGCTCCCTCTCCTCGTCTATTTCTCATTCCTCCGAGTCTCTCTCCCCCTCCCTCCGCTTTTTTTTTCACCCTCTCAGCTCATAACCTCCCACATTGTGTTTTCTGGTTTCTCTTTCGCTTCTGTCTCCCTCCTAGTTGTTTCCCTGTTTTTCTCTAGTGAATATACTCCCTCACCTGTGGCCGTGAGCCAGCTTGTCAGTCTGTCAATCTGTTTGATAGTCACTTGGCCAGCTAGTCAGTCATTGTGCAGCAGTGTTAAAAGATTAATTAAAAAGGCTCATCCACAGAACCAGGCAGTGATCCAAGCTTTCTTTGACCCCCCCCCCCCCTGTTTTACTCTCTCTTTCTCTTTCTCTCTCTCTCTCTCTTCTCTCCTCATACCTTCTCAGCCTCTTTCTCACTTTCCTGTCTGTTTCCTACTTCTCAAGACCTGGGCTGATAAGAAACATTATTAACTTCTTTCTGAGAACAGAAGGCTGGAGAATAGAAGTGGGATAGAGGAGAAAATAAGGGAAGAAGACAAAGGGAGAAGCCGAGGTATCAAACGTAAGACAGAGAGCAAGGTGGCGAAACAGACAGGAGACATTAAAAGTTGGCAGAGAGAACAGATAGAAAGAGGTATGGAGGTTGTCTGTCTCTCTTATAGGCCCTCCAAGCAAGATTGGCTGCCATACAGATGTCTGGTTATCATCATCATTCATGAGACAGTACTGTCTGTGTTCTAACTTCTGAAGCCAGCGGGTGGGATTTGAAACAGATAAGGACAGAATGGATAGATAGAAGCATAGACAGAATTTGTAACTGAGGTGGACTGTTTTGTGGACACCCCGAGAAACTGTTACAGTCAGGCTTTCTCCAATTTTGTGGGCCTATTTTATTTTATGTTATTCTTCAGTTGTGTCCTCTTGAAAAACATCTTTACAGTTTCACCTAAACATTGAGGAAGTAACATTTTTTGAATTTAAATTCTGCTTTTTTCTGCCTAGGTACCACTGTCAGTCTATGCAAGGTACACACTGATGTTTAGTAGGAATAATGTTTACCATATTCACCATTATTTTAGCATGTTAGCATGCTAACATTTGCTTACTTGCACTAAACACAAAACAAAGCTGATGGAAATGTCACTAGACAAATTAAAACTTTTACCTGAGTGCTATATGAAAACTTTGCCCAAGTTAGGCCACGACCTTGAGTGGCCATATGATGGTTGCACAGGAGGAAGTCAGGTGACATAGTATAAAAATCGGCAAAATCTGCGTAAGAAGAGATGGGTCAAACAAACTCAAGACTTTAATCAAGGAGACTGAGGTTCAAGTTCCGTGTGAAACCAAGTAACCGGTAGGTTAAATAACGTTACGTACTTAAGTCATGTTACTTACATCACTTACAACATACATAATGTACTTGTTTTAACCCAAACCACAATCTTTTAACTCAACTTTAACTTTTCAACTTTACCACACAGTTTTGTTGCCTAATCCAAACCATTTCACAACGTTAACCATGTGTTTAATGTCACATGACTTGTCATGTACTTCCGGTCCAGTAAGCCCGTCACTGGACTGTCATATATGTCATTTTGGGGAACGAACAGTCAGGTTTTGGGACAATTGACCTATTTTGTCATCTAGGTATGAGGATGGTATGAGGATGTGTTGACCAAATGAAAAGTCTGGGGATCACAAGATCACAACAAATAATTCTCTGGGGAATGTCTGTACAACATTTCTTGGCAATCCATCCATTAATTGTTGAAATATTTCAGCCTGAAACAGGGACAAAATGACTGACTGACACACTAGAGCCTTGCAGCGTGGCTAAAATGTGTTTGCATAAGACTCAAACAACAACCAAATATTGCTCCCAATGTAAAAAAAAAAACCAATAATAAAAAAGTTATTCAACAGCTAATGCAAATGTTTATTGTTGCTTTTACAGATATGGGAAGATTGTGTCAACAAAGGCCATCCTGGACAAGAACACCAATCAATGCAAAGGTGGGTGAGAATTCTTTGACTTTATCTTGTGTGGTTATCTGTTGCCTTGCAAAGTCACCCTGTCCTTCACAAACTCAGATTTTGAGATGAGACTTTAAGCTGAATAACATCAGTTGAGAATCAAATAAACTTGGCAGCTTAAAGGCAGATCAATGAGTGCACTATAGAGAGTGGTTTTGTTTTTATATATCCCTTCCTCTTGTACATTTTTGCATCCCCACTGAATCAATCCCCAAAGGTTTTTACTATGGTCTAAAATGACTGTGAACAGAAAGTGTGATGTCAAATGACAACAAATGACTTGTGCGAGTCACCCAGTGCACCGTTGCAAGTCCATGTGTTTTGCCTCAGAAATGTGTGTTTGGCTATGTGGCAAGGGTTTGTGTTTTTACACTGTATACAACACAACAGTATTAACTGCCATAATGAGCATGTCATCCTATAATCTATCTAAATGATGCACTTCTAGAGTACCTTTATTTTGTTTTACTTATCTTGATTTCAGGATTGCACCCTAATGATACTTAGAGCTAAGCATTGTTGTCATTAGCCAAATCAAAACGGAGAACACCATACGATAGCAATGTGTTTAAAATTGTCTCCGTGGTGAATGAGGCTCATTCAAGTGTCTTCTGATGAGGGTCTGCTTGATTGTTGGAGTGGTCTGAACAAAGCCCTAATCAATATGATTGTAGTTGCCTGCTTTTGAAGAGGCACACAAGAGCATGTGTTCAGCATGATTGCTGCTCATCTGCCAGGGCTGTACTGAAAGGTATACTGACATGGTTTAGGACAAGAGGCACAAATGCACTGTAATCAGCACATCAGCTTCAGTGGTATGAGTGAAGGAAAAGCCAGTTTGATACCGATGACAGAGATGTTAATACGAATTTGAGTCTTCATCCGCTCTGATTGCTTAAGATAAAATATTTTGAGTAAATGAATGCTGTCCTGCCTGTCTTAACTTTATAATGGGAACACCAAACGTCATTGAGTCTCCCCTGAAAACTCTTTTACTTCCGTTATTATCTTGGATCTTTCTCATGGCCAGTTATATAAATCCTACAGTCTTCATCATTCCAGTACCTGCTTTGGCATCACATTATCAAATATGGCGTTGAGACCTGAACGCATATTGAAATGCCTGTCCTGACATCATTACAGCATAGCTGGTGGGAAAGCACAAAATTCTAAAACCAAAATTATCAGTTATTCTTCCATTTTCTCAACTCATTAAATTTGTTCATTGGTTTTACTTGAAATGCAGTTTTAAAAACCTGGTTCAATACAGCCTCAGTACTCCAACTCTTGGTTATTATGTTATGGCTTCATGCTTCTTTTTAGTATGATTCGAGAATGAAAAACAATATGTTTTATTTTAAATCACATTGCATCTGAAAAGGGCATTTTACATACAGTGCTTAATTGGCAATATTCTATAATTTTCTTATTGTTAAGAAATACAATGGAAAGACCACCGATGACTTGATCCTACTATAACAAGTATTGTCATTGTAGCCAAAGCATGATATTGTGTTTTCCTCTGTGTCACAGAACTCCTTTGATCACATCCATAAACTTGGTTGGCACTTGGTGACATGTTCCTTCATTACCACGGACATGGGCACAGGGGTTTGTTTTGAGTCATTTTTGTATATACATTTCTGTTCCCAAAAATACTCAATAAAGCACCAAATGTGTATTAATTTGCAGCTGAAAATAATCCTCACCAAATACAATATATACATCTGTTATGTATGCTAAAAACTACAGTGTCCACTTGTTTAAGGCAATTACAAAAAAATAAAATAAAAGATACACTGAATTTGTGACCTTAAAGATTTACATCTTTCGTAAGAATGAACAGGCTTGAGGCTAAGAGCTACAGACAGGGTAGTGAAGTAGGAAAGTATTGAATGACGTATCAACGTATTGTAGGTGTTGGTCTCATGGGATTTTGTTGACAATAGGAAAAATTATAAAATAACACCACTTAAACTCAAAATATGTACCTTCCACATCTGCATGGCCGGGAGTGTCCAGCTTGTCATCTGCCTTTTGTCCACAACTGTCTGTGTGGACCGTGCATGTGCAATGCAGTTATAAACAGAACTGCCTGTGTATCCGCTGTCCATGTTAATCTCTCTTGGATTTCTGTCAGAAATCAGATAAATAGTTCAGTGAGTGGAATTTGCTTCCAATACTAATAATGCAAGTAAAAAGACCGAAGGGCTGGCATTTAATACTCAGCAGCTCATCGGATGATTTGCACCATCAATTAATGGCTCTAGACTTAAGTAGCTAGTTCACAGTCTGGTTAAAACATATGCAGTCACATTTTTGTGGGCTAGCGTAGTTGAGCTAAGAATCAATACAGAAGGTTTGAATTTGTAGCTGGAGGAGTCACCTGTAAAGGCATGCAACTGCAAGAATGAGCTGTTGTATGTGTGCACATAAATCAAATGTTAGAGTCAAATACAGATTAGCTAAAGATATACAAGGACAATAGGCAAAGAGTCAGAAAGGTACCTCTGCTCCTGGGTAATGTGCCCTTTAGAAAGTGCACGGCATGAACAAATGTGTCAAAATTAGATTTAAAAACATCAACAATATACAAAAAACAGTGAAATTTAAATTTAAATAACACTTTGCAGCTCAAACACAAAATAGTTTAACTGTCTTTTATTATACTTTTATTTGTGTCAGCTCAAATATTTATGAATACTAATCATTAGAGAGACTTTATCAAAGTGTAAACCGACACATCCAGCAATACATATATGCTTATTATTTAATGCACACAATCCCCAGAATGCAGCAGCTGCAGCTGTAGCAACATAAGCAATTTTTACAGGCTGTGGCCCTCATCAGCAGTTTCACTGCTTGTGATGTAGACTTCATACATCTCTTAGCCAGTTGTTAACTCACAATGAAGGCGTTTCATTATCAGTCGGCCATTAGAATGCCTTACAACCGGATAAGTGTTGGTTTGATTGCAGAGGCATTCAGTGGGGACAAGATAAGTGCTTAGCGTGACTAAGAGAGTACAAATTGGCACAGTGAGTTCTCTTGGAAAGGGAGCGATGGATTGGGGAGACATGGGGAGGTGGAGGGTGGGGGTAAAAATAACCTGGGGCTGACAGAAAAGGAAGGGGACCCTTTGAAACTGATGATTTAGCAGACAGCCTCTTCTTTTCAGGAAGAAAGAGAGAGGTGGAAAGCGTGAGAGAGCTAGACAAAGAGACAGGTAAATAAACACAGACTTCATCCTTTGCAGTCTGCAGGGATGGTGTTCAGTCAGTTTGTACACAGCTTTTGTCATGTGACAGCCTTGTGCTCCCAATATCTGTGATGATTTTACTTCATATCAGTGCTATTGTGGTGTTCTGAAATTTGATGAATCCTGGGCTTTTAAAACGCCCCCAAGCGCTGTTCAGTCAGTGCAAAACTGGCTTCAAGGCTTGTTTGATTGTTTGTCATTGAAAAGTTGATTTCTCTCGAGAACAATATGTAAATATATGAATATAGCACATATTAATATGAATACATTAGAACGATAGCCCTAAAAACACTGTCCTGCAAATTACTGTTATATTAAACGTCATTTCAGTGTTGTTCTCTGAAATAATATAAATCTTTTCATTGTTAAGTCCTCAGATTTGTAGCAGGCTCAATGTTAAAAACACTGACAGTTTTCTATTTAGCAGCGTGGGAGCTTTGGGGGAGAGAGAGGGCACAGAGCAGAGGATGGAGGAAGGAAGGGAGAGGAAACCACTTTAGATTGTAAAGGATTTCCATTTCCGAAAGACAAGCGCCCTCCCTCTTCCGGTCTCCATGTCTCCTGCCGCCCTCCCTCTTCCATTGCTCATCTCATTCTTACTCTCTCTCTCTCTCTCTCTGTCTGCCACTCTCTCCCCCTCCCACCGACTCACTGCCCCCCCATTCCTCCTTTACTCCATATCTCTCCTTTTCCCTCTGTATACAGTTAGCCCATTCTAATGGCCCAAGACCAGGAACTCTGGGACCTCAGGAGATTAGATGGGAGCTAGGGATGGGTGTGTGTGTCTGTGTGCGCACTTGTGTTTATCTGTGCTTCCATCTGTGTCTATGAGCGCATATGAGTGTGTATTCTCGTGTGTGTGTGTGCGCACTTTGTAATAAAATGTTTTTTTTCCATTCACAAGTGGAATATTTGTCAGGCCTGACTGAGCAAGATGAATTTTCATCTCTGTGTCATCATAAGGCCACAGATGGGAGGGACGGGGCACAAATGTGAAGGATTACATAATTCAAAGATATTATTTTCATTCTTCCCTTCTCTGGAAATGTCCTTATCATCGTGCTCAGAAGACCCATCGCTTGAGAGATGAGAGTTTTCACCAAACTGAAGACGGGAAGGTTTTAGTGTATAGATTATATGATCATTTACAAATGACATGTTGGGCAGAAGAGTGGTCCCTCTATATCTATAGTCCCTACCAGCTCCTGGGGTGTGTTCCATCGCTGATACTATACCTCTGACCTCTCTGGGGAGAGGGGCAAATACATTTTCAGAAACACAGTTAACTCAAATGGCGAGTTTCAAGGCTGATGTTCTATTACAATGAGTCAATGTCACTGAGATGAGCACTTGGAGAAAAAATATATCTATCATTCATGCCTATCGAACAGTGAATAATGTGACATATTTGCCTGCCCAAGCTGACATGCAGGCATCTTTAGATGTAAGGACTAACTAAAATGTGCAAGTCAAAGCTAGATTACATGCCAACATCTACAACAGCTCAATATTTTATTAAGAGATTGTTTATAAGACTCCTGAGACATGGACTCAATTTTATGGCACTGTAATACCAAGCACACATTTGATATGAGCTACACAGTTGATTGGTAAATCACTGTAAACAGAGCAGCTCCAAGAAGTGTCTCTTGGTTACATTGCAAGTCTCTAGTTTGATGGTCGTAAACTGGCAGAATTGACAGATTACACCTAAGTGCTATGTTTTCACTCTACAGAATCTTCTATTAGCACAATAAGTTACCACCATTAGTTATGAATATTCCACTGACTGTGTTCAACTTTAGCAAAATAACCTGTATTACAGCTGTGCAAATATGCTAATCCCTATAGTATTATACTAATACCTCATAATCAAAATACTATTCCACTGTCAGATAAATAAAAACAGACAATTCAATTCAATTCAATTTTATTTATATAGCGCCAAATCACAACAACAGTTATCTCACAGCGCTTTTCATAAAAGAGCAGGTCTAGACCGTACTCTATGATGCTATTTACAGAAGCCCAACAGTTCCCACCAAGAGCAAGCACTAGGCGACAGAGGCAAGGAAAAACTTCCTTTTAAGAGGCAGAAACCTCGAGCAGAACCATGGCTCAGGGTGGGCGGCCATCTGCCTCCACCGGTTGGGGGTGAAGGAGAGAGAGAGAGAGAGAGAGAGAGAGAGAGAGGAGGGAGGCAGCCTACACAATATAAACACAGAGGTACAGACAGTGAAGGTGATGTTGCTATAGACTAAATGAAAAATGGTACAGATATTTATAATAGTGTTAATGGTAACAGTCGTAATGTTAATGATTATAATAACAATAATAACAATAAGACTAGCAACAATAGTCATTGCAGCAGAGGGTGTCGAGCAGGAACACGGGGGCAGCAGGTGACCCGCAACCACAGATCCAGACTCCACAGCTCCAGAGTCAGAAAACCTGCAGGAAGTGATAGGAGGAGAGAGGAGAGGGACGAGAAAGCACAAGACTACCAGAAAGGGGAGAAGTTGTGTTAGTAACATGCAATAATGGGATGAGGTTGCATAAAGAGGGAGAGAAAGTAGAGGAGAGAGGAGCTCAGTGCATCATGGGAAATCCCCCGGCAGTCTAGGCCTATAGCAGCATAACTAAGGGATGGTTCAGGACTCACCTGAGCCAGCCCTAACTATAAGCTTTATCAAAGAGGAAAGTCTTAAGCCTACTCTTAAATGTGGAGATGGTGTCTGCCTCCTGAACCCAAACTGGAACCTGGTTCCACAGGAGAGGAGCTTGATAGCTGAACGCTCTGGCTCCTAGTCTACTTTTGGAGACTCTAGGAACCACAAGTAACCCTGCATTCTGGGAGCGCAGTGCTCTGGTGGGGTAGTAAGGTACTATGAGCTCTTTAAGATAAGATGGTGCCTGACCATTAAGAGCTTTGTAGGTAAGAAGAATGATTTTAAATTCTATTCTGGATTTTACTGGAAGCCAATGCAAAGAAGCTAAAACAGGAGAAATGTGATCTCTTTTCTCGTTCCTGTCAGAACACGTGCTGCAGCATTCTGGATCAGCTGAAGAGTCTTGATGGACTTTTTCGAGCAGCCTGATAATAAGAAATTGCAGTAATCCAGCCTAGAAGTAACAAATGCATGGACTAGTTTTTCTGCATCATTTTTAGACAGGATGTTCCTGATTTTCGCAATATTACGTAGGTGAAAAAAGGCGGTCCTTGAAATTTGCTTAATGTGAGACTTAAACGACATGTCCTGATCAAAGATAACTCCAAGATTCCTCACAGTGGTACTGGAGGCCAGGTCGATGCCATCCAGGGAAACTATATCTTTAGATAATGCGTCACGGAGGTGCTTAGGCCCCAGAGCAATAACTTCAGTTTTATCTGAGTTTAACATGAGAAAATTACAGGTCATCCAGGTTTTAACATCCTGAAGGCACATTTGAAGTTTAGCTAACTGATGAGTTTCATCTGGCTTGATCGATAGATATAACTGAGTATCATAATACTGAGTTCCTAAAAGTTATAGTATATAGTATTGTTGTTATGATTCTTGATATAAAATTATGTCATAATCATTGTAAGGTTACCCTACCATACATACATACAATACTTCAAGGATAGCATGACATTGCCTCTAACTCTAACTTAGTGGCCAAAGCAGCGTCTGTAACACGGTGGATCAATATATTTGAGTGTCACAACCCGAACGAAATTACTTGTTTCACTATCAGAATGTGATCCACTCGGTCGATAACATTTGAAAAGGCTATACCAGCCGCATGTAGAAAATTTTACCCCCATTCACATTACGGCACGGCAAAGTCAACACAGTGGACGCTGTAGCGCTACCGCCGACTAGGGTTTGGGGGTGTAATTGCAGAATGACGGACACACCGACGCACAAGTATAAATGCATGGCTATGTGCGTACAGCGTAGCTACACGGCGTTGCAGCCGTTGAAAGCTTGCAAACTATCCTTTGAACTCACTATTCACTATCTTTATGTATCCTGTTCCTTGTTTGGTAAGGACGATGATATTCTCTTAACTTTTGGGACCATTGTTGTGACCATTTTTCTAACATGCAGTCCAAAGTGACACTCAACAAATCCCTACAATTTACCCAGAATGAAACACGAACACCAATGGATTGTTCAGAGATTTGGGTGGGTTTATGCTAGCAGCAGGTAATGTAACAAAGAGCCACCATGCTCAAGCAAGGATGAGGAGAGGGCTATAGAGGTCTGTTACCTCACTTCTTTGTAACTCCACACCCCAGATTTTCAAAATGTTCAAATATGTAGTCAACTCTCAAATGACGTAACTTTAGATGTTTCGGTTTTCTCCCTCTGGAGCCACAAAATGCTTTATACACCTTTTTCCACAAATGCAGCAGTATTTCCCAACAGCAGTATACACTTGTGAACAGACTTTGATGTGTAAAATTGGTGGAGTTCCCCTTTAAAGCACCAGCTTTTTCAATACAGTCACTCGACTTCAGCAACCATGTCCACTGCTGGTACTACTGCCATCAGACAAAATACTAATAATTTGGACTTTGGTGATTGAATTATCCATTGTGAACTGGGTTTTGGGTTTTATTTCAGTCTATGGTTAAACAAACACCCATTAGTTAAAAGTGTGAGATGTGGAACTTTTCAAAAATTCTGTTATAAAATGAAAGCATCTTGCCAGGCTACTGATGAATACTGTATGTTTGTGCATTCTCAATTAGTTCAGCTGTTTTAGTGTCCCTAATTAGATAAATATAGATAAAAAACCTGAGTGCTTGTGAATGTGGTGTGCATGTTGGCATATATTTATGAATCTGTTTACTCTGCATACTGTATATTTGTATCTATGCTTTTCTGGATGTGTGTTTGTCACAGTTGTTAATGTCTGCACAGTCTATGTGTACATACTACAGTAAGAACTTGCATGTGTATTTGTGTTATCCTATTTTGGCTAAATTATGGGTTTCTCATTAGCAACAGTGTAAATATTTGTGTGTGCAGTACATATCTTGCTGTGAAAGCAGCTTGCTGCCTTTGAACAATAAAAAAATCATCTGCTTATCAGCAAAACAGAACACGGCTCCAAGTCCTGGAAAAGACAGACAGAACAGATGTTCAGAATGATGTGTGTGTGAGAGAAAGAGAGAGAGAGAGGGATGGTTTATTCCCTCATTCTTAACATGTTTACATTTAGGATTGTAATGAGTGAGGCTTTTGAAATGTGGATCATTTAATTGTGTTAACATGCAGCCCACTCAAAACTGCAGCTGGAATTTCAAAGCTTCTGTGCTTTCTGAACATTTTTCTCATTGGCTTAATGCATGTGTGTCAGTGTCTCTTTTTTTATTGTTCTTTCATTTACACAGACACAGTCAAAATCAGTCTCTCACTTTTGTTCACATACAACACTCATTTGCACGCAAACTCTCAGGTACTGCAGAATCAAAATCAAAAGTAGGTTTACACATACAAGGAAATTGCTTTGGTGACTTGGTGCTTAACAATAAAGCTTTTACTTCTTTCTGTCTATTTGATGTCTTTTCCAGCCCCATCCATGTTATCCAATAAAACAGGGTGTATTTTTGAAAGTAGCGGATGCTATGTGTGTGTTCAGATCTTTTGTCCTTCAGAGTTTCCTGAAGGGCCCATCCTAGACATCAGCAACTTACAGATACACTACACACACACACAAAAGTACACGAGGTACACAAAATGACGCAGACTACATCGTAATAAAATCGACTGATGCTCATTCTCTTTGTGTCTTTATTTGTTTAAACAAGACTCTGAATCACTTTAATTGCTACATTAAATGTAGAGGATGTCGCTGGTGCAGAGGCATACAGCACTGACCACTACAGACAGACAGAGTTTGTGTTTCACAGGGAGGATATGAGCTTGCATGCACTTCAGTTGGATATAGAATGTAAGACCATAGGAAGCCAGTGGATTTTACATGCAAAAGTAAAGAAGCTTTTCAGCATTGAGTCACTACACACTGTATAGAATATGTATACATCTACAGAAAATGAATGGTGGGCAGCCATTAGTACACTGAAAGACATTAGAGACATTACAAAACATAGACATGAATTCATTAAAAAGAGCCGTAGTACACAAAAACTTGTGTAGCCATTAGAGGATCTGTTGGATCATAAACAAGATGGCAAGAGTTACTGTTATGACACCAATCCCGTTGATGTTCTCTGCTAAAATGCATTTAAATGGGTGAACTAGCAGCTTTCTTTAATACATGACCTGACTTGATTTTGACACATTTCTGGGATTTATTCAGTGTTGAAAACGAAACATGGGCTTGGATTTTCACTGGTTTTGCTCAGTAATATTCAGAATAACATTGACTGATATTTCCTTTTTCTTTCTTTTTTTAATCCCTTTCTCCTCACCCTGACTCCTCCATCTCCTTATCTTCTTCTTCTGTGTTGTCTGTGTGTGTACGTGGATGTACAGGCTATGGCTTTGTGGACTTTGACAGCCCTGCAGCAGCCCAGAAGGCTGTGGCCTCGCTCAAAGCCAGCGGAGTCCAGGCACAGATGGCGAAGGTAAGCTTCAACCCGCCCTTCACTCTCTGGTCTGCTTTACTTGTTGTTGTTTGGCTTTCTTGTGGTTATGTACTCCAGGTAGACTCAGTCACTGTCTGTAAACCCTGAAGACACCGGGTGGTGTTGGTGGTCATCATAATGACAGTGATGATGGTTGATGTTATTTGTGGTCACAGTAATAATAATGACAACAGTAGTTCAATGTTGATAATTACAATAACCATCACAGAATTTTCTGTATGTCTGTTATACTGTTACATTGATCCATGTGAGACTGATAGGTGCAGCTTTGATTAAGTCAATAATGAGATTATTGATTGAGTCCATATAGAGTTAATGATTAACGACCATGGTCATGATGAGATTATTGATCACATTCCCGAAAAAACGGGATAAAGGGTGGAGCCGATAATTTAGATGGCTGAGCTAGTTTCCTTTAACCCTGTATCCTTTCTTTCCTTTCTTTCACCATTTTCTTATGTGTTCCTCATGCATCGGTTCTATATTCTTCTAAAATGCTAGTAATCATCCAATGGTTGTGTTTGTAGTTTAGTGTGTGTGTGTGTGTGTGTGTGTGTGTGTGTGTGTGTGTGTGTGTGTGTGTGTGTTTGTCTGTGTGTGTATGTGTATAGCTGGCAGTGGTATGCCACAATGTCGTGCCAAAACATGTGGGCCTTACCAGCACAATCACATTATCCTTCAATGCGTGCGAAAGAAAGACACTGAATAGCCTGCCGTGCTTTCAGATTCATTAAAGCTGTATCACTGCATACTTCCTTTTATAAATGAGAGAAGAGTGCAATTAAAATGGGCCAGTCTTCAGGCACCAGGAGCATCCCATTGAATTAAACAGCAGCAAGCCTCTGAGCCACCTTTGCCTTGCTCTTCTATTAAACCTCTTTTCATTAGACTTCCATCTCTTATTTTGTTCCTAACTGCTTGGGGGGCATGTGGAAGAGCAGTGTTGATGTGTTTAGCTGTTATTAAAGAGAGAAGAACCCTCGACTCCTTGGAGATTGAGTTTTCCGGAGGGATTGAAAGGAGGGCAAGGAGTCAATTCCAAATGAAATTACACAGACTTCTTACTGTTTCATGAACTAATTATGCACAGAGCTGCTGATGTCCCAGCTAACTTTCCTGGATCAGAGTGCAATGAGAAAGTCAGTCTCAAAAACACTGATGTTGGATTTCTAACTCGAGCCCCTAACATTTTGTAAGTTGAGCAGCTTAATTGGGGTTTGACAAAATCTTGGTTTTAACGCTCTCAGTACCAATTAGACTGAGACAAATTTGTCACAGAGAAAACTCATGCCATTTCCCACATCCTTCTCAGAGTACACTGAGGTTTTATAAGTTAGCTGGGAAGAAACTTTTATTCTTAGTTCTAATCTGCAAGACAGGCTAAAGACAGCAGTGGTGGCAGTAGGAAGACAAAAAAGAGATGATTAGCTTTCTTGAAAGAGAGATGAGACATCTATGACAGGCACATTTTTCATATTTTCGGGGAGGTGAGGTTTGGAGAAATGTTTAGAGATAGAGCTGTGATGCTCATACTACCGAGCCTGTGTTGGACTGAAATGCTGGGTCAAACATAGCGTATATGTTAATGTCCTCATGAGATCTAATCTATAAAGATAAATTCAGCCAAGCATGTCATGAGCTTTACTTTTCACATATCCCAAAACATGGAACCTAAACTTGGGAAGTATTAGTAAGTTAAATAATCCAGACTTGATAGAAATGTAATAATAATACCCTGTTCAAAAAATCAAGAGAACACTTAATCATCACAGTATAACATCATGTTAATTAAACTTCAGGGAATAGAAGCATAACAATAGGTGCACTGAAGAGGCAACAGCAAGCACCCAAAAAAGAAATGTTTTTGCAGGTGGTGGCCACAGATAATTGCTCACTCCTTATCCTTCCTTGACTGACTGTTCTTTAGTTTTGTTTAGTTCTTGTCACTGCAGCCCATTGAGGTTGCATAGGTGGTCCAGCTCCTCCAGGATGGCCCATAGGTTTTCTGTGTCTCCCAGCACAGTCTGAAGAACATGAGGGAGATTCCAGGAGAAGGGCCGTTACATTAGGAGAGCTGGACAGGGCTGTAGAAGGGCATCAACTCAATAGCAAGACCTGCATCTGCTCCTTTGTGCGAGGAGGAACAGGAAGTGCATTGCCAGAGGCCTCCAAAATGACTTTCAACAGGCTACAGAAACAGACTCCATGAGCGTGGCATGACGGGCCAACATCCTCAAGTGTGATCTGTGCTCACAGCCCAGCACTGTGCAGCTTGATTGGCATTCACCATGGGCGCCTCGTTGAGGGCAGGTTCACATTGAGCACCTTTGACAGACTTGAAAGAGTCTGGAGACGCCGCTGTGAATTCTATCAAAATGATCCGGATTTGGAAATCCCATGTTATGCTATCCAGGATTACGTAATCCATTTTACTTTTGTGCCAGTTTTTCAAAACAACGTTGGATTGGATCACCCTGATCCAAATACAAACTTTTCAGGATGACCAAATCCAGATTTCCAGTGCTCTAAATGGGACTTCATGTCACAACCTAGGCTGTTAATAATATAAAGACCAACAGGTAGAACAGCCAGCGTCGAGTGACTTTAATTTGAAGAGACAGAAAATGCACAATAAAACAACACAGACATTTCTTTCCATTTTCAATTTCTTTAAACAGTCAGACCATCTGATGCACAACAAATCCAAGAAAAACAATCATAACCATTATTCACAGATACACTGTGGATATTTTGAGCATGTGAGCATTCCACAATTTCGGAGCTGCCACTGCAAAAGCACGGCCCCCTTTAAGTTTTCGACGGGTTTTAGGCATTCTCAGGAGAAGTTTGTCAACTGACCTGAGCAAACGGGTGGGTGTATAAGGATGAAGCAGCTCAGATAAATAAGGGGGGGCAAGGCCATTCAAGGATTTAAAAGTCAGTAAAAGAAATTTAAAATTGATCCTAAATTGAATGGGTAGCCAATGGAGTGAGCGTAGAACTGGGGAGATGTGTTCCTATTTATGTGTTCCCGTTAGAAGACAAGCTGCAGCGTTTTGTACCATCTGGAGACGGACGAGAGATCATCCATTCATCCCACCGAAAAGTGCATTGCAGTAATCTAGTCTAGTAGTCACAAAGGCGTGTATAACGGTCTCAAAATTATGCTTAGAAAGAATCGGTTTCAGCTTAGCCAGCTGTCTTAATTGAAAGAAACTAGATTTAACCATTAACCCAACGTGTTTATCCAGTTTCATATCGGCATCGATTTTGACTCGTAGGTCTGTGACGGTTGGCGTGACATACTAAGCTAGGGGGCCTAGATCGAGGTGAGGAGGGGAGTGAGTCCCAGGGGTGCTGTTAAAAACCATCACCTCCGTTTTGTTTTCATTAAAACTTAAGAAGTTGAGAGCCATCTTATGCCACCTTATGTCCTCTAGACATGCAAACACTGGTCTGAGAGTGTCATCCTTACTCAAAGGGACAGAGATCTGGCTGTCATCTGCATAACAATGGAAAGAGATGCCATGTTTCCTAAGTATTGAGCCAAGTGGGAGGAGATAAAGGGAAAAGAGAAGAGGGCCTAGAATTGAGCCTTGCGGGATGCCACAGGAGAGGTGCGCCATGGTAGACACAGAGTCACCACAGTTGACACTGAATGTCCTACCTTTCCAGTAGGATTGAACCCATTTTAGGGCTATGCCTGTAATGCCCACCCATCGCGCTAAACGAGAGACCAGAATTTGATGGTCCACAGTGTCAAAGGCAGCTGTTAAATCCAGAAGCACAAGGACCACACAGTCACCAGCATCTGTTGCTAAAAATATATCGTTAAAAACTTTTACGAGAGCAGTTTCGGTGTTAAAGCGTCATTCGGCGAGCCTGAGGGTTTCAATTGCCCAACAATTTATTGTAATACAGACAGCGTGACAGGTTCAAATTTAGTAAAAGAAAAGGGGCAGTGCAGTCAGCAGAGAATAACGGATCGTAAGTTGAGGGTGTGATATGAGATCTGATAGTATTGACTTTGTCAGTAAAGTAATTTAGGAATTGTTCACAGCCGGAATCCAAGATATCAGCAGTTTGCTGGACGTCAAGAACAGAATCAATGGTTTTAAATAAAACATGAGGTTTGCTATAGTTTGCCATAATGATTTCAGAAAAGTACTTTCTTTTAGCCTCTTTCAGGGTTGTTTGATATAGGCGCCAGCAGTCCCCTTAAAATTTGGAGATGTAATTTGTCCTTCTTCCATTTGTGCTCAGCCCTGCGGCATTTACGTCTGACAGTGCGAGCCTTGCCATCTAGCCAGGGCTCTTTTTTTCCTTTGGGCTGTCTAAATTTTAGTGGAGCGACTGTGTCCATTACCATTTGATAGCTGGAGTCAAACCATTTGCTGAAGCCCTCTTGATCACTTCTCATAGAGTCCAGTAGGACGCGTTTTTGGCTAAAGGCGGATGAGAATTTAACAGCAGTGGAAGGGCTAATAACTCGGCAGCGTTTAGCAGTAGTGCAAGGCAGTGTCAAATAAAACAGGCTTGTGGTCGGAGAACACTGGGTCACAAATCTCCACGTTCAGAACAGACAAGCCAAATGATAAAACAAGGTCCAGTATATGACCGCGTTCATGTGTGGGGCCAGTTTCAGATTGTACAAGGTTAAAAGTGTCAGTAAGGCTTAAAAAATCCTTGGCCATTGGTTTGTCCGGACAGCACACATGGATATTAAAATCACCGACAATAAGGACACGGCCATATTTAGGCAGAATTTCCATCAAGAGACCGGAAGAGTCATTTAAGAAATCCTTGTTATATTTGTGAGGCCGGTATATCACTGCGCACAGCACAGTTTGGAAGCGACCTAGCTCGAACATGCTCATTTCAAAGCTAGTGTACTGAGGCAAAGGCGATAACTGTCTACATTTATGGACATCCTTGTAGATAGTTAATATACCTCCACCTCGGCCTGATGTCCGCGGGGA